GGAGCAGATGCAGCGGAGGTGAAGGAATTGGGAATAGGGGATGGCATTTTTGCAGGAAGGTGGGTGGGAGGAAGAGTATTCTAGGTAGCTGTGGGAGTCAGTGGGCTTGAAATGAATATCGGTTTCTAGGTGGTTGCCCGAGATGGAAGGGGAGAGAGGTATTAGAGATGGTCCAGGTAAACTTAAGGTTGGGGTGGAAGGTGTTGGTGAAGTGGATGAACTGTTCGAGCTCCTCATGGGAGCATGAGGCGGCGCCGATACAGTCATCAACGTAACGGAGGAAGAGGAGGGGTTTAGGGCCAGTGTAGGTACGGAAGAGGGATTGTTCCACGTATAATTAGTTGTTGGCTGTCTTCTTGAACACAAGGGCAGAGTTAACACCTGGCAAGGAATATAATTGGGGTACATGAATTCCAAGCATCTTTGTTCCAATCAATAAGTGGGTAATTAAGATCTCCTAAAATGTAATGTCCATTTTAGAAGTTTGTAGCCAATTTGCTGTTAATGCCAATAAGCCTAAATCTTTCTAAAAATTAACCATTCCAGTTCTTCTAGTTTAGTCTCTACATCTTATTCACTGGAAATGTCAATTTCAATGGCTTAAAACTTTAAAATATTACTTATTTTTCCATGATTTAAGTTTTTAAGGTAGACTCTATCTTTGATATTCTCACTTATCAATCTATTTGTTTTATTCTTCCATTTCAATATCACTCTTGCTAAATTATTTACAGAATAATTACCCTCCTATAGTCACAGTTCTGTACCACTTAACTTTTGTTGCTTTGCTTTCCCCATCCCACCCATATCACTCCGATTCTTTTCTAGTTTAGAAAAACATTGGTATCCCCATGACATTTGATGGTATTACCATAACTGAATCGCACGCCAACATTCTGCGGGTTAGCATTGATCAAAAACCTAACATATGCAGCCATGTAAAATAAAACAGCTGCAACTGCAGGTCAGCAGCTAGAAATTCTGTGGTGAAGAACTTACCCCTTGACTCCCAAAAGGTGGTCTGTCCCCACAAGACAAGATGGAACCCTCTCCATTTGCATGGATGACAACATCTCAAAAATACGCAAGCAGCTCAACACCAATTAACACCGGCAATGCATAGCAGCACATGCCATGTAGAAGGTGTACTGAAGCAACTCAACAAGTCTCCTTCAACAGTATTAGTACAAGCAGAAGGCAGCCATTTGGTCCACTGAATCTGATCTGTCTTTCAATGAGATCACGGCTGATCTGATAATCGTTAACTCTACTTTCCTGCCTTTTCCCCATAACCCTTGATTCCCTTTCGGATTAAAAATCTGTCCATCTCAGCCTATAACCCATTCTCTTATGGCTCACTTCTTCCTTATCTCTGTCTTAAGTGAGTGGCACCTTGCTGAGATTATGCCATCGAGTCCTATACTCTCTAGGGGAAACAAATCTCTCAGACTACACTTTCAAGACTCCTAAGAGTGTTGCATGTTTCAATCAGATCTTCTCTTATTCTTCTACACTCCAATGAGTACAGACTCAATCCTCTCTATCTTTCCTCAAGAGATAATCTATCCATAAACAGAATTAACTTAGGCAACCTTCTCCGGACTGCCCTTAATGAGAGTATATCCTTCCTTAAATAAGGAGACCAAAACTGTTCAGTGTTCGAGGTATGGTCTCATTAGAATTTTGAAGAATTTTAGCAATGATTTCCCTCTTTTTATACACTATTTTATTCCAGCGCACCTCAACAGTGCTTTCGAAGCCTGCAAACTCTTCCACCCAGACAAACAAAGATCAAAAAAGCATGGGACCACCAATACTTACAAGTTCAGCTCCATGCCAGGTAACATCCTGACTTGGAATTATATTGCCTTTCCTTGACTGGCACTGGGTTAAGATCATGGGAACCCTTTCTCACAGCACTCTAATTGGCTATAAAACATAGGTGCAGAAGTAAACCATTTGGCCTATCAAGCCTGCTGTATCATTCAATCAAACCATGGCTGAACTAACAATCCTCAACCCCAATTTCTTGCCTTATGCACATTACCACTGATTCTCGAACTCATTAAAAATCTGCCCATCTCAGCCTTGAATATACTTGATGACACTGCCTCTGCCATGAAAAAGTCCAAAGATTCAACATTCCTTATCTCAGTTTTAAATGAAAGAACCCTTACTGAGGTTATGTCCTCTCGTCCTAGACATTGATACAAGCGAAAACAACTTCTCTGCATCTCTGCTGTCAAGAGCCTAAGATCATATATATTTCAATAAGGTCTCCTGTCATTTTCCAAACTCCAGTGAGTACAGACCTCACCTGCTGAACCTCTCCTTATGAAGAAATCCCTCCATGCCTGATATCAACCACATGAACATTTTCTGGACTGCTTCCAATTCCAATGTGCCTTTCCTCATTAACAAAACCAAGTTCACGCATAGTATAACTAGTGCCATGTATAGTTTTAACAAAGCTTCCTTACTTTTAAACTTCATTCTCTTTGAAATATAGGTCACCATTCCACTTGCCTTCCCTATCACCGGCCAGAACTGTATACTAGCTTTTTATGATTTATGCATGAGGACCCTCAATTCTCTCTGCACTGTAGCCTCCTGCAGTCTCTCCATTAAGTGATATTCAGCCACTCTATTCTTCCTTCCAAAGTGCATACCTCATATTTTCCCCACATTAAATTCCACTGACCTAAGTACTCTTAACCGGTCTACATTCCTCTGCAGGATCTCATCCTTCCCACATATTTTTTGTCAGGTTATAGTCCAACAGATTTATTTGAAATCACAAGCTTTCGGAGTCCTCTCCTTCATCAAATAAAGTCTGATACTTTACCTGACGAAGGCGCAGCACTCCAAAAGCTTGCAATTTCAAAAACTTGTTGGACTATAACCTGGTGGCATGTAATGTTTCACCTTATTCACCCCAGTCCAACACCGGCACCTCCACCTCCACATCATACATAGTTTTTGTCATCTGCAAACTTCGTCATAGTAAATTTACATCCCTCATTCAAGTCATTAATATATTTTGTACAGAATTGTAGTCCCAGCACTGATGACTGCGGCAGTCTACTAGCTACAGGTTACCATCCTGAAATTGCACACCCTTATCACAACTCTATCTTCACTTACAAAAACAGAAATTGTTGCAAAAACTCAACTGGTCTGATATCTGTCGACAGGAAGCAGAACATTTCGGGTCCAGTGACCCTTCTTCAGAACTGATTAAAGATAGGAAAAGGTTAGCATATATGCTGAAGATGAGGTACAGTTAGGGTTAGGAGTAAACAATAGGTGGAGATAAAGCTGAGAGAGAGAGAGGGAGAGAGAGAGGACAGTGGACAGATAAATTGGTAAAGGTCAGCCTTGGAGAATCAATAACTGCTAATTGGGACCATTCATAGCTGAAAATGGTCCCAACTCCTAAAATTTTCTTGAGCTACTTCAGGTCTTTCCTTCAAAATTAAAACACGAAAGTATACACCAATGTTGTGTGTTTCTACCAAGACAGCATGATTCCAGACCTCAGTTTTGGTTTAAAACGCAGTCAAATTAGCAGAATTCCAGAGGTCTTAGCATTTAAGGACTGCCCATAGGAATGAAGGCAGCATCTGATTATGTGGTATCAAAGAGTACCAGTAAAACTCAAGTCAGGAGGAATCAAAGGAAAATTCTTAAATGGTTAAAAGTTGTACTGAGAAGGGTAGATTGTTGTGGTTGTTGAAACTCAATTATCTCATGCTCAGGGAATTGCTGCAGGAACTACTCAAGGCAGTATTATAAGCATGAGCACTTTCAACTGATTCATCAATCATTTTAACTCCATCATCATGATAAAAATGGGTATGTTTGCTGATAAATGCATAGTAGTTTGTTCCATTCACAACTGCTCGTGGTTTCAGGCTTAACTGTAGCAAGACCTATCACAAGCCCGAAGATATGTGGGATGAGAAATGGCTTCCTCAGTCAATTGAAGACCTGAAACATGATTCTCAGTAGACATCAGCCTTGAATGAAGAGATAGCCACAAATTTTTCTTCTTCACTCGTGGGATGTCAGCACTTTTGGCTGGGGCAGCATGTATCGCCCATCTTTAGTTGGCTTTAAGAAGGAAGAGCTTGGTAAACTGCCTTCTTGAAGCATTGCAGTCTATGTGCTGTAGGCAGACCCACAATGCTATTAGGCATGGAGTTCCAGAATTTTGACACACCAACGCTGAAGGAATACTATATTTCCAAGCCAGGAAGGTGAGTGTCTTGGAGGGGAACTTGCAGGTGGTGATCCCATGTACCTGCTGCCCTTGTCCTTTAGATGGAAGTGGTCATTAGTTTGTAAGGTGCCTTCTAGGGGGCTTTGGTAAATTTCTACATTGCATCTTGTAGATGGTACACACTGCTGCTGAGGAGGAGGAGGGTGTGGATGTGGTGCCAATCAAGTGGACTGCTTTGTCCTGGATGGTGTAAAGTTTCTTGATGTGGAGGTGCTGGTGTTGGACTGGGGTGGACAAGGTCTGAAATCACACGACACCAGGTTATAGTCCAACAGGTTTATTCGAAAACACAAGCTTTTGGGGCTTCACTCCTTCAGTGAAGGAGCGAGGCTCTGAAAACTTGTGTTTTCAATTAAATCTGGACTATAACCTGGTGTTGTGAACTTTGAGTGTTGTTGCAGATGTATTCATTCAGGCATGAGAAGAGCTTTCCCATCACATTCTTGATTTGTGCTTTGTAAAAGGTGCACAGACTGTGGAGAGTCAGGTGATGAGTTATTCACTGTAGGACTCCTACCCCGTTATCTGTTCTTATAGCCACTGCAATGACATGGCGAGTCCAGCTGAGATTTTCTTTATATCAATGGGTGACCGAGTGACGGTTATGCCATTGAATGACAAGGGCAATGGTTATACTGCCTCTTTACAGGGTGGTCACTGTCTGGCATTTGTGTGGCACAAATTTTACTTCCATTTTTTAGTCCAAACCTGGATTTTGTCAAGGTTTCGCTGCATTTGGACATGGACTGCTTCAATATTTGATGAGTTGCAAATGTGCTGAACACTGACTGCACAATCAACATCTCCACTTCTACACTTATGATGAGGGGGCGGCGGCGCAGAAGCTGTTGATAAAACAGTTGAAGATTGTTGGGTCTATTACCCTGAGGAACTCCTGCAGAAATGTCCTGGTGTTGAGACGATTGACTTCCAATAATCAGAACCATCTTTCTTTGTGCGAGATATGACTCAAAACATAACAGCTTTCCCCCTAATTCCTACCAACTCCAGTTTTGCTAGGGCTTTTCGACGCCACACGCAGTCAAACATGGTCTTGATGTGAACGGCTGTCACTCTCACTTCAGCTCTGGAATTCAGCTCTTTTGTCCATGTTTAAAATAAGACTGCAATGAGGTCAAGTGCTGAGTGGCCCTGGCAGAACACAACTCAGCAGTGAGCAGGTGCTACTTGATAGCACTGTTGACACCTTCCTGCACTTTACTAATGATCACGAGCAGACTGAGGGAGCAGTAATTGGCCGGGTTGGTTTGGCATACCTAGGCAGTTTTCCACATTGTCGGGTAGTTGTTAGCGTTTTAGTCATACTGGAAGAGGTTGACTAGAACTGTAGCACGTTCTGAAGCAATAGTCTTCAGAATGTTGACAAGATCCATAGCAATATCCAGTACCGAGCTATTTCTTTATATTACGGAGTGAGTCAAATTGAGTGAAGACTGGCAAGTGAGATGCCAGAGACCACTGGCGGAGGCAGAGATGGTCATCGACCTGGCACTTCTGGAAGATGGTTGCAGCAAATGCTTCAGCCTTATCTTTTGCATTTATGTGGATTGTGAGGATGAGTTCAAGTATGTTTTATCTTTAGGTCGTTGGTGTGCTCATCGAGCTGGCTGGTTGACCAAATTTACGAGAGAAGAGGAAGACAACAATCAACGTCCATTCCTAGACGTCAGGGTAGAATGAATGACCAATAGGGAATTCCAAACCACAGTATATAGGAAGGCAACTCACACTGTCCAAATCCTCAATTTCCACAGCAAATCACCCAAACATCCACAAAGCTGTGTTAGGACACTATTCAAATGAGCCACAACACACTGCAACATGCCAGAACTATGCAAGGAGGAGGAAAAGCACCTATACAAGGTATTCGCAAACAGACATCCCTACAACTTCATCCACAAGTGCCTACAAGATAGACAGCGCCAAGAGGACACAGTATGACTCAAGGCGCTGGCCATATTACCCTATATCAAGAACATATCAGAACTGACGAGACTCCTACGACCACCAGGAATCATGGTAGCACACAAACCCGCAGCCACACTATGACAAACACTCAAAAGGACCAAAGACCCCATACTCATGGCATGCAGGACCAACGTGGTTTACAAAATACCTTACAATGACTGCAACAAACATTACGTTGGCCAGACCGGAAGGAAACCAGCCAAGAGGATACACAAACACCAGCTAGCAGTAAAATGACATGACAAACTTTCCCTCAACTCAGTGCACTCGGACAATGAAGGCCATCAATTTAACTGGGATAACATGATCATTCGTGCTCAAGCCAACCACTGACACGCACGGGAATTCCTGGAGGCCTGGTTTTCAACCTGCAATGCAATCAACAAGCATGTGGAATTAGACCCCACATAAAAACCCATGCAAAAAATAACCAGAAGTGACACAACCCAACTTAACAGACCAGATCATAAAAATTCCAAGTGGAGTAGAACAACATTGTTTCAGCAGAGGCCACACTGATGATGTTACCTAGCATCTGTACAATAACCAGCCAGTTCGGCAAGCAAGCCAACAACCTCATCCACAGCCCAAGCTGCAAATCTTCACAAGAACCTTAAATATTTTTTCTTCTTGAATCGCAGACCCCATCTAGCAGCAATGGCCAGTAGAACTCAACGAACTCCATCTGTACTGCTGACACTGAACATTGATATCACTGGCCCAGAGTATATCTGGTGACCTGATCAACCTCTATACTTTCTCCAAGTGTTGTTCAAAAGGGAATTGTACTGATTCATCAGCCAAAGGAGGACAGTACATGGTTATCAGCAAGAGGCTTCCTTACCCATGTTTGCCTTGGTGCCATGAGGCATCATGGTTTCCAGATTCTAAATTGAGGACTTCCAGGGTAACTCCTCCTGACTGTATACCAGGGTGCTGCCACCTCTGCTGGTTCTAGTCTAACAGTGGATTGAACATATCAGTGGATGATGATGGTGGTATGTATCTTCCTCAGGGAGTTTAGGTCAACCAGATGGGGATCCCCTCGCCAACAATGAAATGTGGTTTTCATGGTCCTCATTAGACTGTTAATTCCAGATTTTTGAAAACCAAGTACTTCTTCCATGTTAGCTTCATCACGGAGGAATGCTGATCCACCAGCTGAGACTGGGTGATCGGTGATCATCAGCAAAATGCTTCATTGCCCATGATGTTTTTGCCTTTTGCACTGATGTCATGAGACTTTAAGCAGTCCAGAGTCAATGTAAGGACTCCCATGAGCATTCTCTCTCGACTACACGCCAACACTTCGTATCTGGGACACAGTTATACTCAAGCAATCATATCCTATTGGCAATGTAAGGCTGTTGCTTGACTACTTTATGGAACAGTTCTACCAATTTTAGCATGGGTTCCCAGATTTTACTAAGGAGGACTTTGCAGTGTTGAGAAGGTTGGGTTTTCTGTTGTCCTTTCCAGAACCTAGGTAAATACCAATGGTTTGCTCAGTTTTATCCTTTTTACATATTTTGTAGTCATTTAGTAGGCCACTTCAAATGACATTTAAGAGTCAATCACATGATTGTGGGTCAGATTAGGTAAGGATAGCAGATTTCCATAAGGACATTAGTGAACTAATTGGGTTTTTATGACAACAAATGGTAGTTTCATGGACACCAACAGATGATTTAAATTCCTGATTTACCAATTAAATTTAACTTCCACCAGCTCTCATGGTGAGATTTGAACTCATAGCCTGAAAGCATTAACCTGAGCTCCTGCAGCACTTATCCAGTGACATTATCATAGCACCAGTGTTTGCCAGTTTAAATAAAAACTATTGGTGGAAGAAATTCAATATACTGAACACTTACAAACCACCATTTTCTAATCTGAACAGTACAATTAGCATGCAGCAGGCATTTTTTGATCCTTTCAATATCTTACCATTCTGTGTAAGTTTTGTTGAACAAACCAAAGTGGAAATTTGAAACGAGTCTTTGCTGATGGAAAAGTTTCCAAAACTGTGCATATTCTTCCCAGTCATTGCGTAGCCTCTCTCTTCAAGTGTCGTTTTAGTCGCAGGTAGATTTAAGTACAGTGCTGCATCTTCCAGTTTTTTGGCATCTGACTATTTAGAAAGAAACCTTATAGTCAATTATGTGCTTTATCTGAATATACACATTAAAACCAAAACTATTAGATTATCCAGTACTGCAAATGTAGGTAATAAGTCATTCTACCAACATACCTTGTACACAATTAGGTCATGTTCACCATCTCTTAGTGTAGTTCCGTCATACCTCATTAGCTTCACAAATGCCAATGCAAATATCTTCTCAGATTTGTCTTTCGCTGATCAAAGAAGGACAGAGTTTTAGATGACCTTTGTTACATGTGAAACACCACAGAAATACCTTTTTAAGCCAAAAGTAAATAGTTAATGCATATGCCTAAATTCACTGAAGAAAATATACATTTTACAACCAATGGCGTAAGCACAGGCCTTATTTGTGTGTATTGGCTTAGTACTACATATTAAAAACGGTAACTACTTAAAATCAAAAAGTGCGATCAAGAATCTTTTCAATGCCAAAAGCAATTTTTTTTTTCTTTTGGGATAATAAATGTCAAATCAGTGTTTCTAGTTTTATTATCTTACGTTTATTTTTGAAATATATTCAGAACATTTAACAAATAGAAGTATTTGCTTTCGTTTAATATATGCCATAAAGTGGACAAGACAAACTAAGAAGGGCAATGACGAACATATAGTCATCTCATGGAATTGGAAATGTTTAAATGAGGTCATTTGAACTCTGATCAGCCAGCAGCCAATTTTCACTCTCTTCGCTGTGGAATCACAGAACCAACAAATATTGCTTACTTACAGCACAAAGGTTCACAAATAGGCAATTAACAATGTTGGTGCATCAAGCAGCTGCACACTATTTTGCAGCTAATGTGCTAAGCAAAAGTCTTATTTTTGTGTCTTGGCTTATTTTGAACTGAAATGAAATACTTGTTCTTTGTGCAACTGTAGCAGCAGCACAGCAACCCAGGAGGACTGATTTTCATTGAAGAAAAATATATGCCAGTATTCCAGAAGGTGCTTTAGACCACTTTGCAGTCCAGAAGATATCAGGAGTTTTTAAAGTTTTGGAGAGAGGGACCTCAAACAATTCCCATCGGATGAGCATGTGGTATACCAGTCTTCTTGGCTGATGCTCCTGCTGTGATTGGCCCTTAATCACTGCCAGTATTCAATTTCTCCTCATCTTGTAGGAGATTCTTGGTACCACACGATGAAGCACTCAGGAGATGATGGCAATATTCTGCCAAGATACGAATGTTTCCCAATACCAATAATGCTTCATAATTATCCTGGGTGCTGAATCAGCCTCATCATATTTTTAATTAGTTTCTGTTCATGGCTGCAAGACTATCTGCTGACTAATTGGTTGTACAATATGATCTACCAGTCCTTGATCAGCAATAAATTCAAGCAGTAACATAATTTCTGTTCAGAGGCTGTAACATCATGCCTGGGGATCTAGTTCGCATAAATGATCTTGAACTTTGGTAAATTTAGTAGTGCTGAAATTAGGTAGCAACGTCCTGCTGCTGTTTACTAAGGAAGCACTTTCAACAGACAATCTACTGCTCATGAGAGTTAAGTACTCTGCTTGTACTGTGAAAGGAGAAAGATGTACAGAATTTCAGCTACTTCTTAAAATCGTTCTAAGGTCATCATTTCAACTCACTTGTTCCCTGCAATTTGCAAGCAGCATTCCTACTGTGGCTGTGCAAACGAAATATGTATTACACTGTTCTCTATTTAATTTTATAAAAGGTATTTCGATTGAGAAAAATGATGGCAAAGGATTGAAGGCCCAGAATTTTTTTTCCCCAAAACAAATAGAAATTTCTAACCTGCCACTAAGTAACAATTTCAAAATCACCTTCAAAAACAGAAATTGTCGGAGAAACTCAGCAGGTGTGGTAGTATCTGTGGAGAGAAATCAGATTTAACATTTCAACTACAGTGACCCCTCCTCAGAACTGATGGTATTTATGCAGAAGATTGTTTTTGAGAGGGGGCAAGAAAACAGCACCTCGGTTAAACTATATTAGGGTTTGAGGCACCTTCTTCCATGTCCTTACCCCAAACCTACACACAAGGCCTTGTTCTCACATGGGCTGCTACCACACACCACCCACTGTCAGCTACTAATGGTCCCCATTAGCAACTTACATTCCCCCAAACTGACCATTAACCATTCCTTTGCCCGTCCAACTGTCTTTCTCTCTCTCTGGGCTCTATCTCCATCAATCAGATTTTTCGTCACCACCCCACCTCTCCCCGCCAAACCCCACTCCATCTTCTGCATAAATATCAACCTTGTCCTAGCTATCCCAGTTCTGAAGAAGTCATTCGACCCAAGACATTAACTCTCATTTCTTTTCACAGATGCTACCAGACCTGCTGAGTTATTCCATCAATTTTGTTTTTTGTTTCTGATTTCCAGCATCTGCAGTTCTTTCAGATTTTTTTTTTTTTATTTAGTGCTCCAAAATCACCTTCTCTTGTCTACTTTTGAAAGTGTTGTAGCAAATAAGCAAGTCAAAATAGTTAAATGTCTTAACCAAACATTAATTTCACGGGAAATAATAAATTGAACAAAACCAAACTAGTAAATAGTGATGGTCATTAAGTTCTGGATTACTAGGCTATCAATTGCCTGGCCAATTTCAGCCCTTAGTGGGGTCCAACAGAGGCAGGGAGAGAGGACTTATATCCATTGTGACAGTGATGCTTTGATTAAAGAAATGAACATTGAATCAAAAAAACTTTTAATTATTTTGACCAGTAGTCTTTATTTTAAACTTGTAGCTTTTTCCTGTTCTCCTAGCCTAGAGCAATGATGTACAAGATAGCGAGATATAAATACTGTAACTTGTCTAGATTTTGTATTGCATAATTTGTGCATTTTTTGTCACTTAATAAAAAAAATTGTATTTTCAGTCTGAATCTTGTGATCTGTCAGCATTTGGCTTTGACAATTTTGTAAAGTTCAAGCATTAATGTTATATATGCATACCAACATTAAAACATGCCACATCCTATAAACTTAATGTACAAGGTCCAGTTCTTTATTACAAATATAGGAATAAAAGGTCTGCAATGGGAGCTGCTGAATGAATTCTAGACCTGAAGTCCAGCTTTTCCTCTAATTTTGCAATCAACTAAGTTAAAAGTTAGCTTTTCTTGCAGCCTTAAATCAGGGCTATACAAACTCAGACAAGCTGCATCTAGTTAATTAATGGCCAGTTTAAGCTATTTTTTGAAACTGGAGTCAGTTCATTCCAGAAACTATAAATAGAGGCATCCCTCTGTGTGTCTCTGTCTGCACTAAGTGCTGTTTTAGTTGACAAAGTGCAAAGTGAAAGTTTGGCAAGTCTGACAGAGTTTGATCAAAGGGGCGAGGAGCTGCTCCTTTATTCTTCATTCAGTTTCAGACTCCTAAAGATGGCTCTTATTTAAATACAGGGAAGAGGCCACGTACTGGTAAGCTTCCTATATTTCTAATTGCAATAATTTTTTTTTTAAATTTACAGGATGGCATGTCAGCTCAGCCAAGTGGAGTATACATCATGTAGTTGTGTACGAAGTCATGGACACACTGTGTCCCAGATGAACATACTGGTAGGAAGTGTCACCAGCTCCACAAGCTTGGGCTCTCAGTTTTGGAACTTGGCTGGTGGCTAGAGTTACTGTTGTGCATCTACAAAGCAGAGGAATACATACATGGCACATTCAGGGATGTGGTCATGCCACAGGTTACAAGCTTATAGGCAGGCAGTGCAGGCATCTAATCAGTCTATGTTGTTGCTTATTGGTATTCCGCTTTGAATACCAGTAAGAGTGTTGGTTCCTCATAAAAATGCAAGCAAAGCCACAGGTAGTTCAGCTATATTGGGGCATGGGGGGAGAGAGAGGAACACAGCATGCTATGAGTGAGACACAGAGACAGCGATAGCAAGACAGGGACAGCAGAGACACAGAGGTAGAGACAATGAGGGAGGACAAAATGAGAATTAAACAGTAGATTTTAGCAAGCTAGGAAGGAGGTTAAAAAAATGATTGGAGGAGTGGGGGTGGGCGGGATATTGGAACTCAAGTGTAAATCCAGAGTAGGAAGCAGGTAGAAACTTAAGTCACTGAATGACAGAAAAAGCAATGGTTGTAAAATGTATACCACAGGAATTGGGAAGTATTAAAACACAAGGAGTACTGCAAATAAAGTCAAAGTCAATCAGCTGAGGGCACATACAGATGCATCATGAAATCATTGTTATAATAGAAATATGGCTCGAAGACGGTTAAAAACGGTTATTCAACATCTCTGTACGAGATTTTAGGCAGGGTAGAGAAAGGAACAAGAAAGGTTGAGGTGTAGCATTATTGATTAATGAATCAATTATGCTTGTAAGAATTAAAACAAGGAAAAATCGTGTGTCCATACGGGTTAAGCTCAGAAACAAAAAAGGAGCATTCAACCGCTAAGCATGTATTATGGATGCACAATCAGTAGGAAAGAACTTGTGCAGTAAATATACAGGCAAATTTCCGACTACAAAATCAACAGGGCAATAATAGTTAATGATTTGAAGAACTCAAATATCAACTGAAATATAAACAATGTGAAAGGCACAGAGGACATAAAAGTTTTGAACTGCATTGAAGGGAACTTCTTGTTTAGCCAACACATAACAAGCCAAAAGATACAGGACAATCTAGCAATTCTAAATACAATCTTAGTTAATTAAGCTCAGCAAGTGGATGAAGTTGCAGTAAGTAATCACTATGGAGACAGTGATCATAATAAGAGAATAATTTAGCATCATTCTGGAAAGACAAAGAGAGAAGAGGTAAAAGTTCCAAATTACATGAGGCAAATTTTACAAAGCTAAGAGATGATATGTCAAAAATGGGCTGGTTAAGCTACTTGAATGACTCTCAGTGGTCAACAGAAAACATTAAAAGTCATATTCTACAAACAATGTGTAGGCAGATCCCCACAAAGAAAAAGGGTGATACGTCCAAATCTACAGTCCCTGGGTTATCCAGAAGCAGATAGGGTAAGCTAAAGCAGAAATCAGAGCAATCGCAATCACAAAAAGCTGATTGTGGCATAACACTTGTGAATTAGCTTATTTTATATCATTTATTTTGAACTTTCGATTTCAAACACGAGTCCGAAGGAGTTTAATGATCAACTTTTAATTATATCTGTAGTCTTATTGGTTTCATTTTAAACACAAAGAGATAGCTCTTCAAGGCTAATATAAATTTGTTTTTTTTATTAGGAGTTTTCACTAGTGAGCAAACTAAACAGTTATGCACTAGGCTTTCAATTTAGAAAATCAGATTTTTTTTTGATAAGGAAAAACATTTCTAAGTTGAAAAGTGCTTTTAAGTTTCAGTTTGGCAGCTTTACAGTAGTCTTAGCTGAAGCTGGATGTGTAAAACAGTTGCTCATCACAAAAGGAGATGGTTTAAAACTATTAAGAAATAGGTTACATCAACATAAACAGTTTAGTTGGAAAGGTCTTGACCAGAAGTGTTTGGTTACATCCCCAAAGAGGTTACTTGAAGCTGAGAAAGTCTAAGCACAGTTGTAAGAAGGCTCCAGGAAGAGGCTGTCTGATTTGCAAGACATGGAATTGAAGCTACTGTTATGTTAAACCCTATTGATAAGAAAGAGAAGGAAGTTATAGGTAGATAGGATAGTGAAGGCAGTGTTTGGTATGCTTGCCTTTATTGGTCAATGCATTGAATACAAGAGTTGGGAGGTCATGTTGCGGCTGTACGGGACATTGGTTAGGCAACTTTTGGAATATTGCATGGAATTCTGGTCTCCCTACTATTGGAAGGATGTTGTAAAACTCAAAAGGGTTCAGAAAAGATTTACAAGGATGTGGCCAAGAGGGTTTAGGCTATAGGAGAGGCGGAATAGACTGGGGCAATTCTCCTGGCATGTCGGAGGGTGAGGGGTGACCGTATAGAGGTTTAAAAAATCATGAGGGGCATGGATAGGGTAAATAGACAAGGTCTTTTCCCCAGGTAGGGGAGTCCAAAACCATAGGGCATACATTTAAAAGGTGAGAGGGGAAAGATTTAAAAGAAACCTAAGGAACAACTTTTTCACACAGAGGGTGGTGGGTCTGTGGAATAAGCTGTCAGATGAAGTGGCGGAGGCTGGTACAATTACAACATTTAAAAGGCATCTGGATGGGTACATGAATAGGAAGAGTTTAGAGGGACATGGGCAAATGCTGGCAAAATGGGACTAGGTTTATTTAGGATATCTGGTCAGCAAGGACGAGTTGGACCGAAGGGGCTGTTTCCATGCTGTATATCTTATAGTTAAAAAGGAGTGGGAATATCAGATGTTACAAGCATAACAACAACAGAGATTATGGAGGAACTAATATTATTGAGGGTGATAGATGAAGTATATCGTGAACTATTAGACCGTAAGATATAGGAGCAGAATTAGGCCAGACCATCATGTCTGGTTCGCCATTCAAACAGTTCTTAACCCCATTCTCCTACCTTCTCCCCGTAACCACTGATCCCCTCGCTAATCAAGAACGTATCTATCTCTGTCTTAAATTTGCTCATAGTCAGAAATCAAACAACACCAGCTTATAGTCCAAGTTTATTTGAAATCACAAGCTTTTGGAGCGCTACTCCTTCATCAGGTGAAGTGGAAGGATGCACGCAGATCTCTCTGGATATAAATTCTGTGCCTAAGTGTTTCCCTCCACTTTACCTGACCAAGGAGCAGCGCTCAGAAAACTTACGATTTCAATAAAACCTGTTGGGACTATAAGCTGGCGTTGTTTGGCTTCTGACTTTATCCACCCCTGTTCAATACTGGCAACTCGACATCATTAAATTTGCCCAATGACTTGGCCTCCACAACCCTCAGTGGCAATGAGTTCCATATATTCACTACCCTCTGGCTGAGGGAATTCCTCTTCATTTCAGTTCTCAAGGGTCATCCCTTCAGCTTGAGGCTGTGTCCTCAGTCCTGGTCTTTCTAAGTACTGGAAACATCTCATCCACATCCACTTTCAGTAGACTGAGAATTTAAATGAAACTGCTCCTCATCCTTCTGAACAGTACAGACCCATGCTTCTCAACCACTCATATGACAAGCTCTTTATCCCCAGCATCTTTCTTGTAAACCTCCTATATATTCCCTACAATATCAGCACAACCTTCCTTAGATACAAGGCCCAAAACTGCTCACAATATTGCTCTTAGTACTCATTGAGAATATTAAAATACAATGTTACATTTGCCTTTCTGACTGCCAACTGAACCTGCATGTTAACCTTAAAAGAACCCTGACTAGGATGCCAAAGTCTCTTTGTGCTTCAGATTCTCAAGCCTTTCCCCATTTAGAAAATAATCTACGCCTCTATTCTTCCTATAAAAGTACATAACCTCACACTTTCCCACACAGTATTCCATCTGCCACTTTGCCAATGCTCCTAGCCTGTCCAAGTCCTTCTGCAGACTCCCCATTTTCTCAACACTAACTTTCCCTTCACCTATCTTTGTGACATCTGCAAACTTAGCAACGATGTTCTCAGTTCCTTTGTCCAGATCATAATATGTAACGCGAATAGCTGTGGTCCCAACACTGAACTATGGGGAACTCAACAAGGTTCCAGCTGCCATCCTGAAAAAGACCGGTTTATCCCCATTCTCTGCCTTCCGTCAGACAGCCAATACTCTGTCCATGCCAGTACCTTGGCCTTCACACCGTGGGCTCTTATTTTATTTTGCAGCCTCCTCTGCAGCACGTGTCAAAGGCTTTCTGAAAATCCAAATAGATCAAATCCACTGGCTCTCCTTTGTCCACCTTGCTTGTTACCTCCTCAAAGAATTCTAACAGATTTGTCAGGCATGACCTCCTCATAATGAAGCTGGATTGACTCAGCCCTATTTTATCATGTACTACCAAGTATTCTGTAATCGTGTCCTTAATAATGAACTCTAAAATCTTAAAAATGACTACAGTTGGGTTAACTGACCTATGAATCCAAACAGATCATGTCCACTGGCTCTCCTTTGTCTAAGTTGCTTGATACCTCTTCAAAGAATTCTTAGAGATTTGTCAGGCAAATGTAATGCTTCAGAGGGATGTAATGATGGAAATGTATAACACTCGTTAGGCCATAGTTGGAATTTTGTGTATAGTTGTGCTCACCGCATTGAAGGAAGGACATAATTACTTTATAGACAGTACAGAGAATATTTACATGAATGTTGCTAGAGCTTGTAAATTTCAGCTATGAGGACAGATTGGATTCATGAGGGTAATTTTTCTTGGAACAGCGAGGCTGAAAAGGTTGCTGAAGAATGTGTCCAAAATAATGAGGATCTTGGAACTGGACAGTGAAAACTTGTTTCCCTTATTGCAGAGGTGAATTACTGGGCAACAAACGTAAGATGCTTGTTAGACAGATCAGAGGGGACATGTAGACATACTTTTTCACCCAGGTGATGGGTGTCTGGAAGTCACTGCCCAGTTTGGCAGCTGGAAACCCTCAACTCAGTTAAAAGTAACTTAGAACTGCACCTGTCATGCTGTAATTTGCAGGGCTACAGACTAAGTGCTCATAAATGGGATTGGTACGTGGGGCTTGTTTATTCAGCTGGCACAATAGACTCAATGATGTCTTTCTGTGCTGTAAATTTTCTGTATTTCTGTGGTTTTAAGACTTATCTACAGAAGCTGAAATGTGCAAATAAAATACGAAAAATTCATAATAATGGCACAACAATTTAAAACATGCATGTCTAGAGCATGTTTTTCGTCAATATGGATACAAGAACTTCACTATTTTTCACATTATATAAAAGAAATATTGGCTCAAGTACTTACAATCTTGAGACGATCGATGTCGAAACGTGAACCTTAAATGGCTTCTATTTACATCCTCAATAGGGATTGCCACCTATGAAATAATATTAACAGATACTCGAGCTAAAGCTTACAACACAACTGCTCATGATGTTATTTTAACTTTTTCAATTCCAGCTAATATGCCAAGGACATACCTTTACCGTCTCAAACCAACGGGGTTGCTTCACTTGATAGTAAATAACTGACTTGTATTCAGAGATACCATCATCTCCCGCACCAGGAAAAATTACATTCTTTTAAAAACATCAAGAAAATATCAATATTAGGGTTTTAGAAATGCAATATATATTTAAGGATTTGAAAAATTACTGAAGGAACATTCAAGAAAACATATTTATAAAGACTTGGGAAAATGTTCATATAATTTGTAGTCAGCATCATCAAACGTTCAAAACACATTTCACACAAAGGCAGTCAAAACAATAATAACTGTTAAATAACAGAAAGACAATGCAAAAGTATAATTTTGAATTCTGGAAAAAATATTAACTGGTCAATAAACAACAATCCAATTCGTTTTCAGGCCCACAGATGTATCAGCCATAATCGTACCTCCAAACGCTTGCCTTCTTCATCATATACCGTCATTGTGACCTCCACATTCTTGGAAGTTGTTTTATTGCCCTTGTCAAACTCCCCTAGCACTAGTGTAACATATATGTCATTACGAACATCACCTTGATGAGGAAATAAGCATGAAAATCTTTAAATAATTGTGTTATTCAGGTCAGTGAACTTTAAAAAAGACTATTAACTATAATTATTACTAACTACAATTATTATTATTAACTACTACTAATTACTATATTAACTACAATTATTTATAAATTGATCGAAGATTGTTTGAAAGTAAATTTTACATCATTTTGGCATTTCCACAGGATGCAGTTAGGGGAAATAAGATTCAACACGTTTTAATCTGACCAGAAATAGTATCTAAAATCTCAAACACTCAAAAGTATATCACGCAACATTTGGTTACAAAATAAGGTCAGAAAATCACCAAGCAGCAGCTTTAAGTACAGATGACACTTTTGAAAATACAGGTAAGTTCACATTTTCTATACAAGTATGAATACTGGAATGTGACCTTTCTTGGAAGGCCCTAATGCTGGCAGGACATAACTCAGGATACATATATGACTGCAGAATTGTCTGGTCTTTATCCAATCACAACAGTTATTCATAGGATGGTATAGTTACGTTTACATGAAATAAGCAAGTTTTTTTTTTCATTTGAACAAAAAAAAAGGGAGGTAGCAGGTAAAACTTAAGGCTCCTGAGACAACTGAAATTCAAATAATTTTCATGATAAATACAGTCCAAGAAAAGAGTAATCAGCATGTCAAACAAAACATCAGCTCAATATAAAGCACAGAACACATCCAAAATCCTGACAATTACTGATTGTGTCAGTCAAGTCAAACTTCATTATCACAGAATTCTTCAAACCCCATTCCTGTAGATAAAAAATCTGAACTGCAGCAATCAACTTATAATGAACAGAAAAACATCTCTTGCCTTCGCAACATTCACTGCAACACAAACATTTTGCAATACTGCAAACCAACAGATTGCAATTCACTTCGCTAGGAAGACAAACAGATATTGTCAACCCGTGAGAAGCCTGGGTCGTGCAGCTCTTAACAAGGAATCTGACCCTCCTTTAAACCAATTGATCCTGCCGATACAAGGCTCTGAGCACCAATTAATGTCAAGAAGCGCAAACTCCATAAACTAAACTTCTTCGGCTAATGGCAGTTGAGGGGTTTTTTCAGGTGGTTTGTTTGATCTAGTCACAGAGCATAAGGAATCAAAAGCTAAATGCACTCAGATAACCTAACTTTGCAACAACACCTGCTCAACTATTCATAGACAACAATACTTCGTAGCCTTAAAATTCAAAACAAAAACTCTTGCTTCAAATAACTTGATCTCTCTCCATTACAAAATGGCATAAATGTTGATATTTAATTACAAGTAATAAAATCCAAATATGGTAAAATGGTCATTGCGATGAAATTAAGATCACTGCCACTTCATTCCACATTATTTGCTTTTCATGTGAATACATTTATTGAGCAAAACTACAGATTGATGAAGTATTTACCGTATGTAAATAATTTTCCAACATACTCACCAGGCATTATTATCTCAGGGAAACCCATTTTTCTTGCAACAGCAGTGGTTCTATCAACCAGATGTGGAAAATCTTTTCGAATCTGATGAACATCACCTAACAGCAACTTCATTGTAACCCACAAACCTAGGTGAATACAGATGCCAAAAGAACAATCAGACCTGGATTAAAAAAAATCTTTGCAATGGGAAAGGACCTAACTTTTAAAATTCAGTGATAGTACCATTGTGTTCTAAGGGATGAATATAAATTCCCAATATGTTCTGTTCTATTTATTTTAATAGTGCAGTACAGTTAAGAAATACAATCTATAAGTTTCTACCACATTCATCAAATATAAAGGTGTTTACAGGCAAGTTGAGATGAGGATGAGAAATGAGATTGTACCACTGAAGTAAAAGAACACCTAAATGGACAAAAGGAGTTGCTGTCAATAAACAGTACATCACTCAGGCACATGATGTTAGTGCATAAATCAGAGCTCAGATTTCAACACTGGTAGGAAAATGGCAGTGAGATCTAACAGGAAATCTGGGTTGGAAAATAAAGAGGGTGAAGAAATTGCTGCTTCCTAGGGAGAAGAAAGTGACATCTTCAACAGAAGCAGAGATTGCAAATATCTAGTTGTATTGAAGAAATCAGTGGTACAGACCACTAAGGAAAACTTCAACTTGTGCAAAAACTTGTATTATCCAATAGAGCATTTGGCTCAAGATGCTGTAACTCAACTGAGGTTTAAGTGATAGATTGCTACAGATTATCTGGAAGGATGACGAGGGACTTTCAGAATAAAAATAGAAAATGGGAACTTAAGAACAGCAAGGTAGTAAATGGCAAATTGGAGATAAGAGATAAGGTAGATAAACTCAAATTGGAGCTATAGCCAATGTAACAATATAAACAGATATGAGTGGTTCTATCTTTACAAACAATGAGATAATTTATATCTGAATACTAGAGACTTTTACAACAGTAATTTGAGATCAACTTGAATGGAATGGTTGAGTTTGGAGAAAATATAGATTTGCTTTCATCAACATTTAACTAAATGTTATTGTTTAAATCAAGTCATCAGAGGCCTAAACTAGAGTACACAAACTATCCATTGTGGAATAGCTGCAGTTAGTTAAGTAAGGATGCTAGTTCGAATTATTTTACTATAACTAGGGCTCATAACTCTGGTCTAGAATACATAAATATAGCATCTCAGTGCGATTCAGTATTGAAGGCTATTTGAATGGAGTTGTGGGAGTTTGGTGAATTGAAGGAGTTGTGTGAGAAGGGAAAGAAGGCTCTCCTTTCTTTTTAAAGCATTTTCATCCTGTAGAAATTGGTGCTTACGCTTATCCATTGCATTCAATGCATGCGCTTTTATGCGTTTGGGGGCGGGGGTGGAGGTTCTGCAGGCTTTCAACAGCCCAATCTCGGAGCCCCAGACTTTGCCGCAGGTGGGTCAGGTGGTGTTTGACGAGATGGCTAGGTGAGTTGCTCGGAATTCTGCACGGTCTTTCTGCTGCTTGTGCTTGGCCTCATGCTTCACTGACACTCAAAGCAGTTGGCGCCTTCACAGCTGCTTTGCCAATTCATGCATTCTAGGGCAAACAATTCCCTTGAATCAGAGGGGAAGCTACATTTGTTTAGGGAGGCTTTCAAGGTGTCCTTGTACTGTTTCTTCTACTCCGAGTGATTGCTTACAATTGAGGAGCTCAGAGTAGAGCTTCAGTTTAGGGAGTCTTGTGTTGGGCACACAAATAATGTGGTCCACTCACTGCAGATGGTCATGTATGACCAATGTCGCAATACTGGGATACTAGCTCTATTGGCCTGGGTGAGAATGGTCACATTGGTATGTTACCAGTAGTTTTGCAGAACTTGCAAAATTGTCTTGCATTATTACAAGACAATAATGATGATGATAACGCTCCAGGCATTTGAGGTTTCTGCTGCATACAGGTGGGTGTATGGCTACACTATAGACAAATGAGCCTTGGTGCTTGACTTCAGGTCTTGGACATCAAACACTCTTCAGGCATCCAAAGGCCTGCACTGGCAGACTGGAGTCTATGTTGAATTTCATCGTCAATATCTGCTCGCACTGAGAGGAGGTTTCAGAGGTATGGAAAATTATCTACATTGGAAATGGGCTCACTGTGGATTTTTGCTAATTTTGAGACAGTGTTGTGTGGCAGTAGCGGGCTAGTAGAGAGTCTTTGTCCTCTGGATGTTTAGCCTGAAGCCTAATCTTTCATACGTCTCCACGAGTGCACTGATTGTGGTTTGTATCTCGACCTCTGAATGTGCATATTTGCAAGTGTCATCTGCGTACTGCAGTTTGATAACAGAAGTTAGTGTGGTCTTGGCTCCAGCCTGGAGGTGAAGGCTGAACAGTTTCCTGTTCATTCTGCAGGGTAGTTCCATGCCAGCAGAGAACTTCATGGAGATGGGGTGGTGTTGCCTCAAGAAAGACAAAGAAAAATGTTGGTGCAGTGACACAGCCGGGTAGGACACCAGTTGCACTTGTATTGCATCTGTGGTGGATCCATTGGTAAAGATCATAACTTGTATGTCAATGCGAAGCAGGCAGAGAATGGTGATAAATTTCTGGAGGCAGTCAAATTTAAGAATATTCCATAATGCCTCACAGATGACAGTGACAAAGAACTTTGTGAAATCGAAGAAGGTCATGTACAAAACAATTATACTTTCCTTGGATTTGGTGTGGCACTGAAAATCATGACACTGTGCCTCTTTCTTGGGCAGCAGCTGCACTGAGACTTGGGCAGGAACTCTTCAGCCAATGGGAGGAGATGGTTGAGGAAGAATCTCAATGACCTAAGTGAGTGGGCAAAGGTCTGGCAGATGGAGTACAATGTTGATAAGTGTGAGGTCATCCATTTTGGTAGGAATAACAGCAAAATGGACTATGTTTTAAAATGGTAAAAAATTGCAGCACGCTGCTGTGCAAAGGGACTTGGGTGTCCTTGTGCATGAATCACTGAAGGTGGGATTGCAGGTGCAGCAGGTGATTAAAAAGGCAAATGCAATTTTGTCTGCCATTGCTCGAGGGATGGAGTTTAAAAACAGAGAGGCTATGCTGCAGCTGTATGGGGTCCTGGTGAGGCCACATCTGGAGTACTGTGTGCAGTTTTGGTCTCCTTACTTGAGAAGAGATGTACTAGCACTGGAGGGGGTGCAGAGGAGATTCACTCCATTGATTGCAGAGTTGAGAGGGTTGGATTATGAGGAGAGACTGAGTAGACTGGGATTATACTCATTGGAATTCAGAAGAATGAGGGGAGAACTTATAGAAACATATAAGATTATGAAGGGAATAGATAAAGTGGAGTCAGGGAGGTTGTTTCTGCTAGCAGGTGAAACTAGGACTAGAGGGCAGCACCTCAAAATAAAGGGAAGCAGATGTAGGACTGAGGTCAGGAGGAACTTCTTCACCTAAAGGGTCGTGAATTTGTGGAATTCCCTGCCCAGTGAAGCGGTTGAAGCTACCTCACTGAATGTTTTTAAGGCAAGGCTAGATAAATTTTTGAACAGTAAAGGAATTAAGGGTTATGGTGAGTGGACGGGTAAGCGGAGCTGAGTCTCAAAAAGGTCAGCCATGATCTTATTAAACGGCAGGACAGGCTGGAGGAGCCAGATGGCCTACTCCTACTCCTAGTTCTTATGACCTTTCCAATGGCAGACAGGAAGGAAATCCCTCTAATTTCCACAGTCATCCCTGTCTCCTTTCTTGAAAATAGCCACAATTCGTGTCTCTGAAATCTTCTGGCACGCTGTCTTCCTTCCATACAAGGACGATAAGGTCATGGATTCGTGTCAAGAGTGCCTTTCTACTATACTTTAGCACTTCAGCAGGATTCCATCTGCACCAAGGGTCCTTTCATTTTTCAGCTGTCGGATGGCTTTTTTGCCTTGCAGCAGGTTGGAAGCGTGCTGAGATGGTGACAGGTAGTGTGTTGCGAGATGGTGATCAGAGAACTTGCAAAGGCTGTATATTAGTTGAGAAGATCTTCAAAGTGCTCACCCAAGCAGTCGCTGACTACCTCTGTGTTTTACGAGCAGCTTTCTGTTTTTTGGGTCTCAGCGGAGTAGGTCCTGGGTATGGACCATAGATAGCTTTGAGTGCGCTGAAGAAACTGCACATGCATGGTTGTCAGCAAGTTGCTGAGTCTCCAGCACTCTTTCCACCACCAACACCTATTCAGGCAGACAGATACAGACTGGGTGACATCAAATCCAATAAAACAGCCTGGTACTGAAGGTGCCACCTAAGATGATTTTGCTCACTAAGCCAATTTCAGTCTTGGATGCTGATGATTCCTCAGGGGAGTTCAGTAACAGCCAAGCCCATGTCCCATGGGTAACTGAGGTGCACAAGTAGGAAGAAAAAAAAAGTAGAAGAGCAGTAATGATAGAAGATTAATTGGTTAGGGAAATAGGAAGCATCCCTGCAGCCACTGAAAGTGACTACAACATGAATGTTAGCTCTGGTACTGGGATCAAGGTTGTCACAGAGTGGATGCAAGGCATTCAGCTGGATAAGGGTGATCAGGTGGATGTCGCGGTCCACCTTGGGTCCAACAACATAGATATAAAGGGGAACGTAGTTCTGCGGTGAGAATTGCAGTGATGGAGAAAGAGAAATGTCCCAGCGGATTCAAGGACAGAATGAATTTGGCAAGAGTTAAGGAGGTATTAAAGTAATACTTTGCATCTATCTTTACCACATAAGCTAATTCTACCCATGCCATAATGAAAAAGGAGGAAATTTAATCACTGGAAGGGTTCAAAATTGAAAAGGAGGTGATTGTGGATAAGTTGTGAATAATTAAATTTGATAAAACACCACAACCAGGTAAGATGCATCCAAGGGCAATAAAGAAGTTGCAAGTGGAAATTGCAAGGCACCGACCATAATTTTTTAGGCTTCCTTAGACTCAAGGGTGATATGAGAAAGCTGAAGAATTGCAATCATTGCAATCTTCAGTGCTACTGAAATAAAAACACATTTTGTCGATAGTTTTATTCAACAGAAAAATTTGCAAGAATACTAATTTAAAAGGAAAACCAACATTTTTCCTACAGGAGATTACCGATTGGGAAGTGGACTC